CAATGAGGATCACAACCCCAGGAAGCCCAGCAGAATGAATCCGTCAGGTGCAACAAGAAATTAAACACAAAGAGGGAGAATCAAACGGAAAAAGTCATGACAAAGGATAAGTCAATACATATCAGTTATAACCATCAATGTTAATGGTCTCAATTCACCAATCAAAAGAAATAGACTAGCAGAATGGGTTAAGAAGCAAGATCCAACAATATGCTGCATACAAGAAACACATTTAATTCTAAAACAAACTCATAGTCTGAAAGTTAAAGGGTGAAAAATAATACTCCATGTGACAGGAACCCCCCCAAAAAAGCAGGAATAGCTATCTTCTTTGTAGATCAAGTGGACTTCAAACGAAAATCTGAAACACTTCTGGTCCCAAGAACTTCAGATAAGCAGTACTCAACTTGTATGTACAAATCTATTGTGAACATGTGTTTTCATTCCTTTCAAGTAAAAACCTAAGAACAGGACTATTGGTTCTTAACAGTAATACAAGAAATTTCTATATTGTTTTCCAAAATGGTTTTACATTCACAATAGCAGTATTAGAAAGTTCTAACTGGTTCATGCCTAAGCTGACATTTGTTCTTTTAAAACTTTTAACTTCATCTCCATAATGATTGTATAATTCATTCTTTTTTTTTTTGGTACTGGAGATCGAACTCGGGTCCTTGCACTTGCGCAGCAGGCAGCGAAACCACTGAGCTAAATCTCCGGCCCTGTATAATTCAGTCTTGTTATTGTGCTCATTAGTATTTTTCTGATTCTAGTGTTGCACACCTTTCCTTATGCCGTACTGGCTATCATCTTGTGTCTACTTTTTAATTGGGTTGTCTATTAATGAGCTGTGAGTGTTTTTTATATATTCTGGTCATAGGTTATATTCATTATAAATATGGTCTGTTTAAGGACTACTTTTCATTTTCTTAGAAGTTCTAAATTTTGATGGAATCTTATTTATCAATTTTTTTCTTTTATACATCATGTTTTTTATATCCTCGGAAATTCTTGCCCACCCTAAATTCATAAACATTTTCCCTTATAATTTATTCTTAAAGTTTTATAGCTTTAGTCTTTCATATTTAGGTTCATAAATCCTTTCAAGTTATTTTTATATATGGAAATAAAGGATTGAGGTTAATTTTCTATATACGGATACCAGGTGTTCTAGTGCCATTTGCTGAAAACACTATCTTTTCCTCTGCTCTTGAATTGAGTTTATGTTCTATAAAATGTTACTGTTAAATAATCTTTCAAAACAGTGGACCAATAATGAGTGGTTCTGTTTCTAGATTCTCTGTTTTATTCCGATGATCTATATGTCTTTCCTTACACCAACACTGCCTTGATTATTGTAGCTTTAGAAGAAGTCTTAAAATTAGGTGCTAAACGTCATCCAACACTGATTGTTTTTTTTTTCTTTTTACTTTTCTAGGTCTTTTGTTCTTCTACATAACTTTTAAATTTCAATATCCAATTCTTCATTTATAGCAAGTATACATAGACCTGAATTGTTATATATGCCTTGTGTTTTCTAATCCTGCTAAATTCAAATACAAGTTCTAGGGGCTCCTCGAGATTTCTTAGTATTTT